TTTAAAAACCTTTCCAATACAATAAATTTCCTCTTGCAAATCTTCATCATTACAATTCTGAGAACGTTTACTAACCAATATTCCCATTTACCCACTATTGTATTTGACCTACCGACACAATTTATATTATCTTCTGCACCGTTTCCCTTTTGACGTAATTTCGAGATTAATTTCAGAAGTACTCTAGTAAAAACAACCTTGAAATTCGGTCCTGCGTCCGTTACTTTCGATCTTAACAGCATTCGGACAGGTAAGCCCAAACCAAGCCTCAAGGAGCTACGACTCACACAGGTAAGAACCGTTGGTCGAGGACAGTGACGTACACTTAAGACTTTACTGCTTAAGAAATTTAATTTATCAAATTTTGTTAAATATTTGATATGTAAATTTCGCTTTTAATAATATATATATTCCACATGTCTTCACCTGTGATTGACAGCCATTATCGAATACTCTTCTCTAATATGTGTTTATTTATTGGTTTTAATTGAAAATTATTTTTCTCAATAACGAATTACCCTTAAAAATGCACCGGTGAGTATCTGGCACTCCTGAATTTTCTTCTTAGTGGCATAAAGTTTTGCTTAATTTTTCATCTTTTCCGTCTGTGTTTATTAAAATGAACTAGATAACGAGTTAAACTTTTCCACTTCTAGAAGCACTATACCGATGAAATATTTTCAAATAGGCAAAATATTTGCCTATTTGAAAATATTTCATCGTTATAACTACTTACTTTTTAGGCTTCTCTTATCATCTTCGTTCTTTTTCACGTTAGTTGCTATAAGAAAAAAATATAAAACTGTTAAAGGGAACATAGAAAAATATAACAGCCAAAGAAAAATGACCAGAAAATAAAATCAGGCATATAAAGAATGACTCATAATGCAATACCAATGGAATTTCAATTTCTCACAATGCGATGACTATTGAATATTAAGCGTGATGTCTATTGTCCTTAAAATGTTTCTCAGAATCATCCATACACGAATTTACAAAAAGTGTGAATTTAGATGAGTGACACTAAATTCGGATTTCAAAATAGACTGGAAACACAAGAAGCTCTTTTTGTCTTAAATGTGTTAACATCAAACGGTTCGTAAACTTCTCTCGAGCCATGGAAAGCGATAAAACCAACAACGAACACACATGTGCGAAATGATTCATTTTATTTATAATTTGGGTACTGATTTATCGTGTTTCTGTTTCTTATACAATGTAATAGAGTCCCAAGTATAGGCTAGAATAAATAAAAAAATTCAAAAACTTCAACTGACTTAAAAAAACAATTTGTGAGATTTGTTACAACCCACAAAAGTTTCCTCTACACACATGAATAAGTCACGTTCAAAAATGTAAATCAAGACATCATTTGCTTGTTTAACAAAAATAAAAATATGTACAATAATAAGTTTACTATTTTCTCACGTCTTTCTAGGAAGGAACACGTCATTCATACTATGTCGATTTGATGAGACAATAAAAATGTTCGCTGCGTTTAGTAGCGCCATTAAAACTGAACGACGAGCTTCTTTTGAAGTCGTGGAATAAACCGCAACAATTTGGTTCGCGACGAGCCGCGAACGAACAGTTCGCAAGCGGTTTTGTCTGCCGTACACATTTAACGAATATAGCGTTCGCATACCGTACGCATACCGTTTGGCTCGTATATGTGTACCGAGCTTAACGATTCAGAGATGTGAATGTGGATGCATATGTATGTTTTATAGATTATCGACAAGTATTTGACTGCGTTAAACATCAAAAGATTATCAAAATTCTAAGAATAACTGGAATTGACTATATTGGCACCAAATCAAATCAAAATAGACAAAACATTCGAAGGAGGATTTCTGAGGAGTCAGTTTTTTGGTTGCTGCTTGTAGTTTTATCTGATCCAAGTCTGGTGTATTAGTTAAAATTTCACTCTTTTTAGTTTTCCTTGTATTCACACATTTTCTATTTTCTGCTTTTAGAAATCGTGTAAACTCGTGAGCGACGATGATAGAACTTGAATTCGCAGATGATACTATTGATTTAGAGTTTTAAGATATTATCGGTTTTTCATGTGTCCTTGGTGAGGATACTACTCTATTTTAATATGTCTTCGATGAGGATGATATAGCTTCTGGAAACCACAACAGCCATTTCTGTCAACTCCGGTTGTGGAGTCCATTTGGTCTATCAGTCACAGAATTTCCAACAAGTCAGCTTCCGAAACAAAAGTTGAAACATCAACTAGTTGCAGTTTGTTACTACAATGAGGCGACAGAGCCGGTATGATTACACCATTATCATTTGCCAGTAGAACAACGTGATTCTTGTGATTGTTGTAGATTAATATGGAGAAGCTTTGATGGGTTTTCAATTGAATTGTTGTTAAAGTATTTTATAACGTCGACAAACAGCTCGCTATTCATCCATCCACTTGGATTTGCCAAATCCAGAGTGTCAGGTGGAGCTTCTTTGTGTCATATACTCCTTATAATATTTCCTTGGAAAAAACATGACAGGGAGCAGAAACGTACCATTCGCACATACAACGACGAATGTGGTAATAAAAATACCCATTTCAACACTAATACAACTATTCATCTGTTTTACACCTTTTTTCTAGTTGTTGTACTAATCATATTGTTTTAAATCAATAAATTAAATTTAGATATCATATGCTACCTTTCGTACTTGAATGGTTGTTATTCCGTAGCTCATTTTGCTACAAGTTTTGATATAATTACAAAAAAAAATTTCCTGTTCCTCTGAAAACACACGTCATATAGCATAATTGGGTTCCATTCAATCATTATCTAGATTAGTACGTTTTTTTGCGACATATTTTTGTAATGTCTAAAATTTTACTCTGTGTTCAGCGGCAGCAATTCTCAATGATTTTCCGTCAAAAACGTTTTGTCCGGCACTTGTCATATCATCGGAGGTGAATGTTGCTCGACTCCTTGGTTTTTCTTCGTGCACTATGTCTGCAACAAATACTACTTCACTTTTATTCTACCTATAAAACATATTATTATAGCATACACAATTGGTACAAACTTTAGTAGTACACAATGGGACAGTCTCATTGTGTACTATCACCTAGTATCTCATTGTGTACCAAGTGGCATCGTTGTAAACAAATGCAAATAATGAGAATAAAGTTTTAATTTTAAGACTAACAATTGGTATTTCACGTATGCACTTGTAAATTGACACAAATCAACAATTACGAGCGTGGATTGATATAAAACTAGCCTTTGACAGAAAAAACAATTTTTTTTTAATTAAATCGATTTATTTCTCAACATAGTCCCCTTTTAGCTCTATACACTTAGTAAGACGATGTTCCAATTTTGATATCCCATCCGAATAGTACTTTTGCTCGAGCTCTTCAAAATAGGCCGAAGTTTCAGCGACGACTTCATCATGTCCTCCGAGACAGTGTTTTAGGTTTGGAAACAGAAAAAAATCACTGGCGGGCGGCAAGATCTGGGGAATACGATGGGTGTTCAACCAATTTATAGCCAATTCGTATAATTTTAACATGACGACGGCCGATCGGTGAGCCGATGCATTGTCTTGGTGAAAGAGCACTATTTTGCTTTCCAATCCGGGGCGTTTTCGAAACAATTCCGCATCAAATCGATTCAATAATGCTTCGTAGTACTCACCATTGATTGTTTTTCCTTTTTTCAAGTAGTCGATGTGGACGATGCACTTCGCATCCCAGAAAACAGTCGCCATCACTTTGCCGGCCGAATGTGCACTCTTTGCCTTCTTCGGCAGCCCTTTGCCGCGTTTCCGCCAATATTTCGAGTGTCCTTTGGTTTCCGGTGTGTAATAATGCACCCAGGTTTCATTAACGGCGATAAATCGGCGAAAAAAATTCTTCAGATCGCGCCGTATCATCGCCAAAAGCGTCTCCGAAGTGGTCACACGTTTTTGCATTTGATCCATTATCAGATCCATTATCCATCATCGCGCGGATAGCTTTTTTATGTCCAAATGATGGTGAATGATGTTGTGTAAGCGTTCGTAGGAAATGTTTAGGACCTCTATTAACTCGTGGAGCTTAATTCGAAGATCTGCCATAATCATGTCATGGACTTTGTTGATCATTTCCGGCGTGGTGACTTAATTTGGTCTCTCGGGCCGTTCATCATCAAAAACACTCGTACGACCACGAACAAATTCAGTTATCCAAAATTTTACTGTTGCTAACGAAGGTGCAAACTCACCATAAACTTCGTCTAGATCGGCTTTGATTTGCACATTCGTTTTACCCTTTTTGTGGAGGAATAACTTTCAGGAGGTCACGACTAAAAATGATGGTATTTTGACTGGTGTCAAATAACATTTCTGTGATAATGTTGGTTTCAGAATTGAATCTTGGCGGTAGATTTGAAAAATTATTAGATTGTCTTATTGTGTACCATGTCTCATTGTGTACTAGTCTCCCCTAACTTATTTTTAAAATAACCTGAATCGGCGTTTTGATTAGTTTCGACTAGTTTAGGCGTTAATTACTACTATCGACTGCTTCGAAACAAGAACTACTACATACTGCTAACAACAATATAAATATTATCCTAATTGTGACAAAAAACGTAGCTTGGGAATTTGGTCAAATAAATATAAAGTGTGATCAGAATAAAAATAATACAAGGGGGCCAAAGCAGTTACCAACGATGAGGTATTTAGATCGCCAATCTTCAAAAGGAGACGAATATAATGAATGATGAATTCGACTTATTCATTTTACGGTAATAGGTACGCTAATTATCAGGCAAATAATCTGTTATCTTCTTTGTTATAAAATAAATATGCTTGTTAATATAAATGGTATGAGCATAATATGGGTATAAAATGTACTTAATATTCTGCCTATTTCTTTACTTTTAAATAATATACTCGTACCTATCCCCCAACCCTACGTCTATGCGCGTAACTATTGTTAAAGAAAACATTAGCAACAGCAAGCGAAATTCCCGCTTTCTATTGACAAACTGCATCGAGCACCGAATCGAGTCACTCATGGTTAACCACATGTGCTGTAAGTGTACAAGAATACCATTCACGAGTTCTTGTTTAAAAATATCTCAAGTTATTTTAACTTTAGTTAAGTGATGGTGGTGACAATATGTGATTTTGTAGTGACTTTTAATTGTTTGTTGTTTTGTTTATACGGATAGTACTATGATTAAGTGGTTATCGTTGTTTTTATTGTTAACAGGTAAGAAAATTGAGTGAGTTCAATGCAAGATTAGACGCGAAACTGTAATTTGTATTTATGTTACACATTTTCATTACTTCATAACTATTATTAATAAACTTTGCGAATCTGATGAATTGATAGTCAAAACCAAAACGTCAAAATATAAGGAGTGATAATATTTTTTTAATAACTTATTACATAAGTATCTAATTGTCTAAGGCGGTATTAGGTCTTCAGAATATTTAAAACAAATTAAATTTGTCTATTAGTGGAATAGAAATTAAATAGAATAACATTAGATAGTACTAGCAGAAATAAAATTATGAAACCGTTCCACAAAAAAGATAAAAACTATGTAGGGTATGGAAAACGAATCCGAGGAAAAAATAAAAGGATAAATTTATTAAAAACGTGAATACAGATAAATACCATAAATAAAACTCTAGGAATAGAAAAAAAATCCAATCGGCTTATGACATGTTGTCTGAAATTATTTTTTCATAGAAAGATATAGTCTTGATTACATTCCATAAATCCGGAAAGCAGTGAATGGCTTTTTCTTTGGCATCGGTTTTAACAATCAATATGAGAACCAAAGAATATAGACGCATAATATGCGTCTATATTATTTGCAAGAATATTGACTAAAAGCTTACATTTTTTAATAGTGTAAGAACCTAATATTTTGACATTCTGGCGAAAACAACTGAGAATTTCTCATGAGAATTAATAAACAACATGTTTTATAATAAGCAGGAATACATATTTGACACCAGTGGAAAAGTCCGAATGCGAGGGTGATTAACTACGAGTAGGTATAGGGTAGAGTGCTTCAAGAGTGCGCACTTAACCCTTCAACTGCGAAATTTATTTTTTGCAAAAAAGGAAAGGAAAAATCATAAACATTGGTCAAAACACTTTATTAAACATATTGGTACAAGTATTTTTCTCAAAATATATGTAATTTAAAAAAAAATAGTCGTTACGTTTTGGTAACGCTAGCTGGTTAGGGTATACAAAAAATTTTTGGACAAGAAAATTATCACTTTGGGGTGTGAAACATTATATTGCACTCTAGACATAATCCTACATCACATTTGACACACATAGTACGAATACTTGAGCTACAACCTTCTCCAGCACATCGACGCCTCTTATTATTGGGGATGTTTATCAAAAAATGGTCTGTTCTGTCATATCTCAAGTTATCCGAAACCCTATTAAAAGATAAACTTGATTTAGCAGCCGCAGGTCTTCCAGCACCTTTTGAAGCCATGCCATATTTTATCAGATAGGCTTGAGCAATCTCTCGTCTGAATTCTAGTTGGGTAAGCTGTGTTTGATGTTTACACTTCTTGGATATACACCAAGCATTGACTATAGCAGCTTCTAGTAGCCAAGTAAAATTGACCACCACCACTTCTTTCTACGAATTGAAATCCTGTATCTGGATATCTGCTGGTCCATGAAGTCAGTGCCTCCCATAAATCGATTATATTCAGATATCAGATAAGGTTGTGGTACTTGAATATTTTTTTTTTGTCTCGAGAGTAGCGTTTTACTTGAGTGACTGGATTGACGCCATGACATGTAGATGCTACTGTCACTACATTATTATCCATCCACTTGACTAATATTATTGCATCTTCTTTGTCGATGACAGATATCGTGTCTCCTCTGTTTTTCGATTTCGAAATAATACTTTTTTTAGGTAACTCAGAACTTGTAGGAATTCTATTTTCCCTCAATATCCCGTACCATCATACCCTCTTTGTTTCAAGGAATATAACAAATTAAAGCTTGTGAAGAGATTGTCGAAGTAAAATGTGAACGGGAGCTTTTTTTATATCATCCGAAAATTCATCTATCATGCAAAGTAGAGGAGCAGCACATTTTCCAAAATTGCTTTCGTAACTAGTGTTTGACTTTGGGTTTTTTCCTTGATATATATCAAAGTTTACCAAATAACCAGAAGCAGAGTTTAGGCACCACATTTTATACCCAAATCTGATGGGCTTACCCCGAATAAACTGTTTACATGAATGCTTCCCAAAGTATTTGATCATAGCCTCATCGTAATTCAAGTTCTGTTCAGGTATCCAGTTGTCAGTAAAGCGGCGTTTCAAAAGGCCCATCAGTGGGCGTAGCTTCCACATTTTGTCACCATGTACAGGCTGTGTGTTGTCGGCGCAGTGCAAATATTTTAAAATTTGGCGAAACCGATCTCTTCTCATAGATTCAGTGACTAAAATATTTTTCATATCTTGTTTGGAATCCCAGTAAAAGTCCCTTCCAGGTAACGCATTATATCCTGTAACAATCATAATCCCAATTACACATTTCATTTCTTCGTTAGAAATGTTTGGGTTCGGTTTATTGCAGAAAAGTGCGTATTTTCTTGATTCGGTCACAAGTAGTTCAATTATTTCGCTATCAACAAACATCTCGAATATATCTAAATAGTCTATATCACTATATTTACTATAATCTGGTTTAGGAAAATACCTGCTCACACGTTCAAAGTCACCTTCAATCCAGGATATTTTTTCTGACCCAGGGCGGACGATATTTGACACTGGCTCTGATTCAGGTACATCGATAAAAGCTCTGACAGCACGAGGAGGGACGATTTCAGCTCCTGGTGTCAACTGTCGACCGCTTAAATTATCTAGAAATCCGCCACCATCTTCATCACCAAAATCCTCATCGGTAAGGACATTCGCATCAGGAGGCTCGATGAATATTTCATGAACGTCCAGGTCTTCTTCATAAACCATTTGCAATGCTTCTTCCAGCGTAAACCCACGCCTAAAAGTAACAAATGAATATACTAGACAATTATTAATACATAAACAAGAGTCCTAGCTTTTCTGATCGCATATATACCACATACTCAACACGCAAGACATTTATACACGTACAATATTTTTTGTCTCCCTAAACCAGCTAGCGTTACCATACGGTAACGCCAATATTTCTAAGGTTACATTATAGAACTTGAAATTCTTTCATAACAAAATTTGGTCTAGAACTGAAGAATAACTATCTATAAATACTCTTTTGTAAGTATTTTTCATAACAATTCAAAAAAGAAGTTTTAGTAATACTTACTCTAGACGGATGTCAATCTTTGGAAGCTCGTAACTGTTACCACAATTTTTAAAATTTTAATAAAACTGACAAAAAGATTTTACGTTGACGTTGTACCCAACAATGTGTTCATTCACATACTAAACGCGTGTTGACAAATAACCAACGCATCCCGATGGAACCAAAGGCTGTGTTGCCACTTCTAAAATGAGCTTGTCTACCGTTACGTTACGATATGGTAACGCTAGCCGTTTAAGGGTTAAGGTTTAATCAGGTGTTAAATCCAAATCAATTTCGTTGAAAATATATTTATTTTTATTTAAGTCAGTTGATACCATGGACGTATTATACGTCCACGTTGATACATAAAAAATAAAATAAATTATAATTTGGCAATAATAAAATACAAATAAAAATGTTTATTGCTCTTAATCCATTCGCTGCCAAACTTTTTTTTTTTTTTAATTTTAAATTTTATAGCTTCTACGTCAATTTTATGTTCTGAACTTATAGAAAAATATTTAAAAAATTCTTAATCTTTCCACAATAACCCTGTGTCTAAAAAATTTTTTTGTTCCAATTTTGGAACATGGCCATAAATAGGTAATAAAAAAATCAACAACGTCAATTTAAACTTCAACATTTATTGATAAAAAATGATAACATTTTGAGAGGATCTATTAATTTTTTTCATGAAAAGATTTGAAGCAATTAATAGGATTTTACAAGTACCGCATCCAAAAGTTGTGTTTGTTTTACAAATTTTGCATCTGTTTTGTTTTAAAGAAATTGGGTAATGCAGAACCGCCATATTTTGTGAAACAGATCCTGGAATTTTTCGAAATAATGTTCCTAATTTTGTCTTATCAGGTTTTGGTTGTCGAGGGTTGAGTAGTAGATATGTTGCCACAATGCTTCTTGTAAACCCTAATAAATCCAATGGACGCATACTTTCAACGAATTCATCAGCGTTAGATTGAATGTTACTGTGGTGTTGAATTCTATATAAAATCCATGCGTTAGAGATTGAAGCAGACAAAAGGTGAACAAAAATTTGCCACCACCATTTATTGTTACGCTGTTTTGGTCTATAGTTAGCAATATTTCTATTCATTAAATCAGTACCTCCCATATTAGTATTATACTGCTGAATTGCGTAGGGAACGTCTACCATTATATATTTTTTTTTCTGCTGCAGATTAACGACGTACCGATTTTGTAGGTTGAACGCCATAACAATTTGAAGCCACGTGAACGATGGCATTATCCTTCCACTGGATAATTATTATATCTTCATCAGAACTTGTGTATGAATCAGCGGATCCTCTAACTGATTTTTTCATTGCGTTTTTATTCAACGCGCATTTCCCAATTCGATTATGTCTAATGGTTCCCGTGCAATCATTTCCCAATTCTATGAGTGGTCTTATTTTAGCAAACTTCTCATTTTTTTGTAGCTTAGTGTTATCTGAAAAATGTAAATTTTGCAAAATTTCTCTAAACCTATTTCTCGGCATTGCGTTGACGATTGCTTCGTTTCTGAGATCCAAATCCAAACTCCAGTACATATCTTTCCGAGGCCTTTGGGAATAACCAGAAATCAGTAGGATTGCAAAGAATACTTTGAGTTCTTCAATCGTAACCTCAAATGATGTGGTTGCATTTTTGTGTCGGGCATACTTTATAGTCTCGTCTTTTATGTATTCAAAGACATTATCAAACCAAAAAGGTGTAAAGAAATCGACTGCACTTTCACAGTGAACATTATTTCGATTTGAAAGTGAGATATTTTCTTGATGATTATCTAGGAACTAGGGATTATCTTTTATTAGATTGACCCACATTTATTGGAAGTTCATCATCGCTCGTCGAGAACATATCGTCAGCGTCTTGTGCCTCACATTGTGAAATAAGAGTTGCCTCAGCTG